CCGCTGCATCCTCCCGAAGTCTGTGCCTAGGCTGCCTTGCAGTCCTCTCTGCTGCCACTGTTGCCCCTGCAGGGCAGCCTGGAGGCAGCAGTGATGGTGACAGAGTGTAGCTTGGGTGCAGGCTCCAAAACGACATGCATGATTAATGCATTAAAAATAATTATACAAACAACGATTAACATGTTACTCGCATGTGCTAACTGCAATTGAGAGCCCTAATCCCTATTTTTTTGTAATGCTGAACTGATATGCAGTGCTGACTTCAAGCTGGGAATGAAGTGTGTAGGGTTAAGAAAAGTACCATTCTTCTCAATTTTAGGTGTTTCAAGTGTGGAAGGAGAGGCTTGCTTTGCTGTCTGATGACAACAAGAATGCCTTGACTGTTGATATGGATAAAATAATGTTAGCAGCAGCAGAAGATATTCACATTTACTTTGATGACAGTGGTAGGTATAGAATTCTAAAACATCTCTTTTATAGAATGATCCCAGATTCTGTTTCTCTTCTTAAAGCTTCATTTTTATGTACTTACTTGGTTTAATTGTAAACTAGATTCTAGTAAACTAATAAGCTGTTCACTGGCTGGACCTTTACTTCTGCTGAATTTTGCACCTCTTTTTAAAGGACATGTTTTTATCTTTTTACCTTTGCTAAATTTTATGAAGATGATTTTAAATACCCTCATCTTTTCCTTGTCCTCTTTTGCATTCTTTTAGCCTATTTTCTGGATCTTAGTTAAATGTATGGTAGAGTGTAAGTAAAAGATTTGGAATAAGATTTTTGTTTTCTTTCTAACAGGAAGACGTTTTGCTAGAATCTTGATGGGCTTTTGGTATCGCACTAGTGCTGTTATCTCTGAAGGTGCTCCAGTGGGGGCCAAAGTTTTCTCTTTTGGACCTGAAAAAGCTAAACCTGTTGTAACAGCAAAATATGAGTAAGTTCCAGTCTTTCCTAAGGCATGTCTACATCACAGCTTGTAGTTTCATTTAGAAATACCTGAACCAGCCAAAGTACTAAAAACAGTGTAGCTGGGGCAGCACAGAGCCTAGCTCAGGCTGATTTATCTTGCTTCTTGTCTAGACCAGGGATGGCCAACCTGCAGCTCCAGTGTCCAAACTTCCGAGTCCAAACTGAATAATGCGCTTGCTGCGAGCAGTCGCATCACGTGACATAACATCTATGGAAGCTGGTCGCTGTGTGTTTGTGCAAAGCTTCAAGGAGATGCATATTAACTTCTGAAGAGCCACATGTGGCTCCAGAGCTGCAGATTGGCCACCTCTGGTCTAGACTCTTTCTAGTACCTAAACTAGATGATTTAAAATGGACTTGAGTACTAAACTCTGGTACAGTTTGCTGTGTGGATAGACACTTTGCGACTGTATTGTATGTCACCCTTGTGCATTAAAGTTCCCTTATTATTTGACCCAACTTCTCTTCTGGAGTCCAGCTGGGTTATTTTTCTTTCTTTTCTCAAATATCCGCTTAAGATTATTGTATTTCAACCTTATAGCTTTACATTATTCTCAAACAAGCTCTATAAATCTGTTAGAAAACAGATTCATGTAACAAACTATTTCTAATCCCTTCCTATACCTCAGCTACACCCCTTAGGAAAGGGGCCTGTAGTGCAACGTCAAACAAACAAACAAACAAAGCAAACATCATCTGGTATCTGAATAGTTCACATCACTGTTCACACACTGGTTGAAAAGATGTATTTTCATTGGAATTAATATATAATATCTGTTATAAAATATGCCAGTGTCAAAGCTATGCAAAATATTTGCACTGTTGGCACGTTAATAAAATAATATTCTCCTAAGTTGTAAAGAGTAAGAGGCATGTGGCATTTTTGTGCCAAACTTAAGATATGGTGGGTGTCCTTTTAAAAAATTATATTATTCCAAGAGATGCTATGTAGGGTCCAAACCCTGAGGAAATATCCCCCTTTGCTTTCTGTCTAAGTCCACCTCTGCTGTATTTGAAACCTACCTCAAGGTTTTTCTAAGACTCTTTTCCTCTTGAGGGACGTAGTGAGTCGTGTCAGTTCCTGGTTCATGAGTGCAACTAAATTGTGCTTTCTGCCACTTTCAGTGGAGAACAAGGGTCAAATGGATAGAGAAACTCAATTTTTGGGAAGTGCCTGTCACTGCAGTGTTAAGGTGGTCCTGCTTAGGGAAGGATTGGCACAGACTCTTTGGTCAGCATAGTTATACTGCTACTGCTCATGGTCATCCTAGCCAAAGAACATACTTCCCATTTTTGCCAGGACGCTCATTTTAAACATCTCTCCAGGGAATCCTGTTGGATATGCTTTTATCCTGCTTTCAGCA